TAAACTAAGCTATTTTTTGTGGGCCTAAAGTGATTTGTACGATTTAAAATATTTATAGTTGATTTGAGTTGTTTTTACTTTAACAATGGTTGCTTGTATATATGTTCATGTACTTTTTCCATACTATGTTTTATTACGTCAAAAAATCAATAGTTTACTCTAATATTTATATTATAGAAGTATAAATATGTACTCGTAAAAGTACATTAATAATAGCTCAACCACTTAGAGTTAGTAAAATTGTTGTGACTTTTTGATCGATTATTTATTTTGTGAATTGTGTATATCTTTTTTCTTTTGGTCATTCCTTTATATAGTAATTCAAACTCTTCATGTACCTAAAGTTCATTAGAGGTTATCCAATGTGATTGTCCATAATTCATGTGGTCTTTTAAAGGTGATTCGCAATGAGACTTAATTACCAAATGCCATACCATAATGCTCTCGATCAACCATAAATGTGTTATTCATCGTATCTCAATCAAATATTGCTCCTATATCTAGTCTTGGGTCGACATGATCAATGTGTCCGATCAGTTGCCTCAGCCCAACCATGTTTAGACGGACGTTTATCCATCAGGGGGCTCTATTGGGTCTGCGTTATAATTCAGGCCATCAAAGGTGATTCAGTCCGAGAAACTGGGCATGTACACAGTCCGTAAAACATGAGTTGTGTATGGGAAAAATGCTTTTATGAGACCTACTAGAAAATTGGGCATGTACACAATCCCTCAAGTATGAGTCGCGTAGGAGCAAAATGTTTCCCTAAGATTGGGTAATAACTATTCGACGCCCATCCCCAGACAATCCTTTTCGGGTGAGCTTGCTCTGATATTTCCAAATAGGGTGGCCTTTGATTGTGATAGTCTAATGTATGTTGGTTGCCATATTATTCCAGTTACACTAGCTGTGATGATTGCCAAATATCTTGGAAATAAAAGTAACTTACGACGTTATCTCCTAAAACGCTAGGAAGATAGCTTTAAGTGCAACTGTCATTTTGTCTACCACTCAAACCTTATAAATATGCCTCATCATTTCTCATTTCTTTCATATTTTCACTTCACCTCACAAACTTGTAACAAACGTATCTGCATTTTTCTCCCTCCCATATTCTGAATCTATAGCAAACACTCGCAACACCAGGTAATATCCTTTTTCCTCTATGATTTTCCTTTCTTCTTTCACGATGTTTATTCAAGAGTGTGACACATTTGTAAGGGTCGTAGATACCCAAAACAATGTTGAGATATGCGAGTTATGGACTTATTGTCTAAAAAACTCAAAATGTTGTACATGTAGAGTAGGTTGGAGGTTTGTAGAAATTGAGCTCTTCAGTAGATACAAGAGTTCACCAACTGGTAGTTCAGATAGTGAATCACCTAGTGATAGCGACATTGACTTAGTAATGTCTTCTTCCTTAGGTCGACTAGATCTAACATGGCTTTCTCAACCTCTAATCAGAGTTTCTTTTTGTGAAAAAGCTATGAAAATTGACTTAATGTGACTTGTTCATGTCTGACCACCTCAATAACATCGGCGAAGCAGGGAGGGCAAGTTTGTTAGGCATCCCAAAGACATTTCAATTCTTTAACATCTATCTGATAAGGAGTGTCGTCTTAACTTGTGCCATGTTCGAAGACTCTGATACTTCAACGAAGAATAAGAACGACCTAAAGGTTGAGCTCAAGAAGGTTAAGGAAAATTATGGGCTAAGCAAAATCACGGTGACCTCTGCTAACGATAGAATATCTACTCTTGAGAAGGACTTAATTGGTGCCAAGGGTCACCTCTAAAAAGGTTCAACGAGAGAAGGTCATATTCCTAGGGGTGAAAAGGACCCTTGAGATGAACATCCAGAGGTCAAAGCATCAAGCTTGCTAGAGTTGAGGCCGAGGTGATTAGTATTAAGGTGGATCTTTAGGAGGCTCGCATTGACGGCCTCTTTTTTGCGGATTAAAGGTTCGAGAAGGCAAAAGAACAAATATGTTATTTGTACGTAGAGCTCAAACTTGGCGATCTAAATTACTTTAAGGCGGTGGTGGATGGTCGCTCTGTGGAAGAAATTAACTCTGTGGACAACCAACCCTTGAATTAAGAGACATAAACAATGTTTTCTCCCAAGGAGGTGGTGCCTATTGGCGAGGTTGATAGGGAGGTTGAAATTGTCCTTATTTTACCCAGGTTGATTACAATTTTCGTGAAGTAAATCATGATTTTTCTTTTATTCGTTTTGATTGTTTGCAAGCACTTATTTGCTCATGCCTTGTAGACTTACGAGTCCCCGTATGGTTATGGTAGATACCTCGTAGGGCTTCGCTTGTATGCCTAAGAGCCCTCGTATGGTTTTTATAGATACCTCATATGGTGTCACTCATATGCTTAAGAGTCCTTGTCGGGTTCTTGCGGATACCCCGTAGGTTTAAAAGTCTTAGTATGGTTCTGGTGGATACCTCGTAGGGATTCACCCATAGGCTTAAGAGTCCATGTAAGAATCTTGCATTCTTGTTTGAGGAGTGCGTAAATTTATCACTGAGCTCTGTATATAGCATATAACTCACAAATAACTAAAACACTTATTGCATCTTAATAAAAATACATGCACTTACTAGGAAAATAGTGTAACCTTAATGTGTTGTTACTTTTTAAATATAAATTAAAAGTTACATTATGTCTAGCCTTTGAGAATTTGTTTAACTATAATAGTGTCTTAATTTCACAATGTTTCAGGTTCTAAGAACCTCTTCTCCTTCAAGGCTTTCTAATTTATATGCTCTTCAGGATATTTTTTATCGTATCTCAGAAAGGCCTCTCCCAATTATGGAATAGTTTGTCTTTTTTGGCTACCACAACTGCCCATTTCAATATAGGTCGCCTTCATCCGTTGTTCTAGGTTTCACCTTGGAATTATATCTTTTCGCCGCACTTTGTCGTGAACTCATGGATCGGGCGCATTTCTCTGACCTTTTCTATCAGGTTGGCAAAGCTCTTCAACTCGGTCTCGTTTTCTTTTTGTTGAAGTGCTTTCTTATCTTCATGTGGGTACTATTAATTTCAATCGAGAGCATCACATATGAACCATAGGCCATCCTAAATAGGGTCTCCTTGGTCGATGAGCGTGGTTGTTTAATATGATCGCAATACCCTATGTAGAAGCTCAGCCCAGAGTCTTTTCGCCTCTTCCATGTTCTTTTCCATCAAGAGTATGATTTTGTATGTTGCTAATATCTGCCCATTCGTTTGTGGATGCTCGACCAAAATAAAATTCATATGGATTCATAACTGTTGACAGATTCTACCGCAAATGAGTTGGCAATTGTGGATGCTCGACCAAAATAAAATTCATATGGATTCATAACTGTTGACAGATTCTACCGCAAATGAGTTGGCAAATTATGTCTCATTGGCAAACTGATTGATGGTCTTTGGTAAGTTAAACCTGCAAATAATATTCCTATAATATAAGAATTGTACCCGCTCTACTCCTATAATATAAGAATTGTACCCGCTCTACTGTTATTTTTTATACTACCTCTACCTTAGTCTTGGTGAAGTAGTTTACCCTTGCTAGTGCCCCGAAAACAGAGCCATAGATGAAGTTCGAGAATCATTAACATTTCAATTTACAAACTCAACATTGTCTTTGAGCATGCTTAATCAGTAGTATTTAACCTTTAGAAAGTCCGAAAATCTTTGACATTTCAATTTACGAATTCAACCTTGTAACCTTGTCTTTTAGAGTATTCGGCCCCTAGAAGCTATCTTGCCAAAGTTCTCCCACCTATGTGGCTTCAACATGTCTTTTAGAGTATTCGGCCCCTAGAAGCTATCTTGCCAAAGTTCTCCCACCTATGTGGCTTCAACATGTCTTTTAGAGTATTCGGCCCCTAGAAGCTATCTTGCCAAAGTTCTCCCACCTATGTGGCTTCAACATACCCTTTTAATAAAATTTATTAACATACACTTTCAATAAGGTATATCTCTTATTCCATTAAACCCATTTTGTATAGCTTTTCAACTACTCCCTCTTATTATATTTATTAGAGAAATTTAACTTTTTAAATTTATTAAATAATTAATCAATTTGATTTATAATATAATCCAAATATATTGACTACACACTGAATCTAAAAAAAAAATTAATATTATAGATAGTATTCTCTGGTCCTATTTATAAAAAAAAAATTGTTTTAAAATTTCATTAAATAACAATGCATCTTGACAAAATACAGACCAAATTGATTAGTTATTAAATGAAATTAATAATTGTAAAACTATGAAGTATACGGCAAGCAAAGAACCTATTGATCTTACTTCCAACTCATCTCACAATTAATAGGAACCTCTACAATCATGAACATCCAACTTATTGCATATCCCCTAATTGTTAATTTAAAAATTAAAATTTAGGGTATTGAATAAATGAATTAATAAACAAATAAAACTTATTATTGTTACAACTAGCATTGAATATATCTAATCATTAAAACCATTTTCAAGAACATTGCAAAATTTCTGTAAATGCAACTAAGCTGTTGTGCGAATACTAATTAACCTGCAAATGCAACTAAACTGTTGTGCGAATACTAATTAACCTGCAAATGCCTCTAAACTGTTGTGCGAATACTAATTAACCTGCAAATGCCTCTAAACTGTTGTGCGAATACTAATTACCCTACAAATCCAACTAAACCGTAGTTTTGGATACTAATATAGCAAATAGAGGAAACAGAACAAAAGTTCAATGAAACTTTTGCAGCTTTATAATATCTGCAAGAGATGTAACACAAAGAAACATGTAAAACTTTCAATGGACTCTTAACTATATCTAAAATAAACTCAGGTAGAATTTTTGGCAAAGTCAAGAAATACAATTAAGTAGCAAAACTGAATTTAAGCTAAATTTAAATTAGCCAGAATACAACAATTGTCTGGATTAAAACCAAAGCACACTGACCAAAAGTAAACACAAGAAGCTCCATCCAAACCATAGTAATAATCTATAGCCTTCTACCCCTTCTACCACTCTTTCGGCGTGTGCTATCGGAAGGAATTGGAGTCACATCCTCTGTAAATTTTAAAACAAACAAATTCCAACAATGATGATTAGAGATAAAAACAGAAATTAATACACACATACACATCTGACATAAAACAAAGCCGCAGAAAATCCTACAGATCATAGAACCAGCTTAAAACAAGAGATAAATATATTAAGAGAATTCAATTGGAAATTCAAAAAACACAATCAAGTTCATTAAAAACAATGATTAGGGATCAGAATTGAGAAATTTATTGTCATGCTGAAGAAACAAAACATTAAAAAGGAATAAAAAGCTGTAGCTTCATAAACAAGATTCACATGTACATTAACAAAAAAGCAGAAAAACCCAAGGCTATGTTTGATGTGATGGAACATAGTGAAGCTGAGCGTAGTGGAACATCACATAATGAAATGGAACGGAAAGGAATATAGATCTCACTCTATTGTTTGGGTATTTTATTAATAATATTCCAGTCTATTGCATAGACCTAAAATTGGATAGATTGGAAGTGGATTTCATCATGTTCAATTTCACTCCATCTATATGGGAGAGAAGCCGGAGGAAAATGGAAAAAAAGAATACCTATGCGACCAATTTTCATTCCTGAACGAGCTAAGGCACGGAGAGCAGCCTGAGCACCAGGGCCTGGTGTTTTTGTCTTGTTTCCTCCAGTTGCACGAAGCTTGATATGAAGAGCAGTTATTCCCAACTCCTGTTCCAGAAAACACAATCAACAACCATTAAAGATAAACAAACACCTAGTCAATAAAATTCAGAAATAGAAAAGACACATATAGAAAATAAACCTTGCACCGAGTAGCTACATCTTGTGCAGCAAGCATAGCAGCATATGGAGATGACTCATCTCTGTCAGCTTTAACTTTCATTCCACCTGAACATTTTCAAAGATTATAAAAAATCTTAATCTCAAGAGTCTAAAAAATCATAGTTCTGCATTCCATAATTCAAACAAAAATCTCAGAAAAATAGATACATGGTGCAGGAATTAAAAACATTCACTTTCTTATACAAATTCACTGAAATTGCACATAACATTATAAAATAAGCTAATTTTAAGGTAACTATAAATCAGAGAGAAATACACTAACCAGTAATGCGGACAAGGGTTTCTCTCCCAGACAAATCAGTAACATGCTGCAACAAATCAAAAATCACCCATTTAAACCAATAAATCACAACCAGCAGAGTAAATACGAAACGAATAATAAATAGCTAAAACCACTCACAATGAAGGTATCGTTAAACGAAGCAAAGATGCGAGCAACACCAAAAACATGTTCTCCATCTTTAACAGCAGGACCAAGAGTCACAGTCTCCTCCTTAGGCTCTCTAACCTTTCTCTTCGACGACTATGAAAAGATATACCAAAACTCAATCAACCATCAGATCTTATAGATTTTAATACCAAAGGAAAAAAAAGCAATTTTGATGGTGAATCAACTTAGAAAAGTGAAATCGAGCGTGAAGAGTGGTGACATGCGTACCATTGTTGAAGCTCTAGGGTTGTTTGGACGATTTCTACTTCAATCCTACGGCGTGCAGCTTCTTCACGAGCCTCGCTGGTTTTGGTTTGTATTAGAGAAGAAGAATTTATTGTCGATTAGGGTTTTGTAAATTTTGGTATTGGATTGGGCCTTGTTACCCGCTCAGCCCACATATACCTTCTACCCAAAATTCATTTAATTATTATATTGTGAATTGCTCAAGGCATCTTGTATATTATTATGTGAAAAACTCAAAATACTCATTGATTTTAGATATGTATTTTTGGAGACATCTCAAGCACACACAATTTATGATACAATTTATGATGAGTTTGAATCATGCCTCAAATTTATGTATATTTTGCTTTTAGAAATGTATCTTCGTAAATTTTATGAATGCGTATTTCTAAATCATACTAAAGCATAAAATAACAAAATAAAATTAGTAAAAGACAGAATAACAAAATAAAATTAGTATTGATAACATAAAATAAGAAATGTTACATAGGTAATCGTTAACATAAATAGAACTTTATATTTAAATATTCAGATGGATGTTTCAACATCTTCATAATATCTTAATCAATCTCAAAATCGTTGAATCCATCTTGATCGAAACTTTTGTTTTGTAACATAAAAATGTATTTCACATAGCCCTTAAATCTGCATCCGTCTTCAGCTCAAAGTTGTTGAACTCAATCTTTCCTTTGTTGACAATTGATGGTGAACGGTACTCAAGTTTCACAATTTTTAGATTGTCGAAGTATTGTATGAGATTCTCTAATATGAATTTCAGATCTTCAAGAGGGGTGTACTCATTGAACTTAAACTTAATTTAGGGTTTCGTGTTGTTGAAGTAGACATATACGACATGTCATTTTATGTTTATTTGGGTGTAATGTGATTTTATAAGAGACGTGAGATGAGAGTCACGTACTTATAGTAGTTTTAGGCAAATATGGATCTTAGAAGTTATATCTTGTACCAATGAACATTACGGGGAGGCATTTGTGATACCACTATATTCTATTATTCTTAAGATATATTTCATGAATACAAAATTACACTAGAGGTCCTTTAAGGGTTTTTTTTGTAGCAGGTTGGTCCTTTAAGTTTTTTTTGTAACAACTTGATCATTTACGTAATTTCTACATCATTTTTCTCACATTTTGAACATTTAGAAATGTTTGACTATTGTATTTCTAGTTGCATTTCATCATTTTCATAGATTTAAAATAGTTGCATTTCATCATTTTCATACGATTTAAAATAGTTGCATCAATAATTAGCACTTTCACTCTGTTAAAAAAGGGTAATGTTGCACACGTTTGATAACTTAAAGGACCAAGTGGTTACAAAAAAGACTTAAATGATCAACTTGTTACAAAAAAATAACTTGAAGGACCTCTATTATGATTTTGTCTTGATCAGGAACATGTTTAGTCAAATATCTCTTAGTATTCGTGATTTAGAGAACATCAAATGTGTTCTCATAAACAGACGACCATGATTTTCTTGTGACACTTGTCCAATATCAAATCATAACTTATTGTTGAAGAGACACCTCGAGCGTTGTGATTTCGTGAGACTGTGTTTTAAAATGATTATTCCTTTTGCTTTCTACTATTGTTGTAATTATGACTTGACGCATTGGGTTTGGTAACCTACTTGAGAATAGGATAAATCTTTACGCCTTCCCTTTAATGTGCATTTATTAAGACTTATGTGAATTAAAAATTTCTTGAAACTAAACGATTATATTCTCAATCTTTATTCCTTGTTAGTGCTTCTTTCTGATCTTAAGTATACATTTATTTTGTATACCTAATATGTGACCTTTTGGATACTCCTTTCAATAATAAGCTGCTTTACTCCATTCCTTTCTCTTGATATGTTTGTCTCTTCTTGTGCCTGTGTCCTATGTCATTTGTCTGGGAGATGAATTTTCGAGTCAATTCATCTAAACTTAATTTATATTTATACTGATACATTTCCTCTTTATATCATACTTTTGTTCATCTTTCTCTTCATCAATCTTTCTAAACTTTCTTACATTGTTTTTGTCAATATGTCTATCAAAACCTTCCTTGGTAATGAAGAAGTTATGGAAGTAATCTCTGAAAAACGGCCTAACATTTCTAGACTCAGAGACTCAGGTTTACACATATCTATCAGTATGCAGATTCAAGAATGGTTTGGGTACTACACAATCTTACATGGACTAGTCTTTCATATCCTTGTGAAGGAATTTTGGAAATATGCAAAGATTGGCAGAGATAACAATTATATCTGGTCTTCTATTTACGTTGTTCCGTTCATCATCACGCCTACTTCCATTGCTCAAGCCATTCACTATGTTTAATCTGGAGTCACCGTTGAAGATTTTCATTTGTCTTACTCTTTTGTTAGATAAATCATCGCCATTCATGATGTTTCTCTTCACATATATTAACCTTACAATCCTGAAGGGCTCATTTCCACTGCCAAAATGTGGTTTCAACTTCTGCTAACCAACTTTCGACCCGAGGAGTTGCCAAAAATGCTTTGTCTCATGATGATAAACTTTTTATCTACTTCATGATGCACAATGTCCGGGTCAACCTGCCTCAAACCATTTTTAACCATCTGGAGAATTATGTTGAAATCTCCAGAAATCAACATAAGTCTTTTATTCTGTATGGAAGAATTTTGTCTAAGTAGTTCTTCAAGGCTGAAATCATTGGTTTAGCCAAAATATTCGGACTAGAAAATGTTATGGTTGAAGAAAGGCGTGAAAAGGTTGATAAGGTGGAGGATTTTAATGGTTGGTGAGAGGGTGTTCTCGTTATTCTTTCAGAATTTGTCTTCTAATTTCTTTTGATTAACCGTTTTACGTGTTTGTCTGTCGTTTGTTTGGTCGTTTTGGAAGTTATCTTGTATTACTCCTTACTTATGTACTTGCGTCTTTGGCGTTATTATCTTTAATCAATGAAATTTATCTGTTGATTGCATTTATTCATCTTATTGGTTGCTGACAAAGGGGGAGAAGTATTGATATACCTAATTTCTCTTCTAATTAACTTTTTGATTATGACAAAAAAGGGGAGTATTAATTGGAAAAATTATTTTGATAAATATATCTTGTTATATGAATCACAATTTTGACATTCTAACATTATATTTGCACACAATTTCTTCTTAGAATTCAAAATTCCATCTCCACCTCCATCCCCCTATCTGATACCCCATCCCCATCCCCACCCAAGTCTGTTGCCTTTAAACGACAGCGGTCCCGTAAAGCAAAAAACCCCACCATCTCCCTTTTCAGTTTGAGTGATAGTAGCATTAATGTTAACCCCGCTGGAATCATACAAAAAAACGTCTTCTAAAACCAAGAAAAAAACTTCTCCTCCTTCATCCATTGAAAACCACATCATAGAGAAAAGTGGTCCATCAGTTGCCAATGAGATATCTAAGAAAGAAACAAGTGCTCCTCCATTAACTAAAAACCACATCATAGAGCTGCTAACCAAATTTGATATACTGCAGCAAACTGTCAACAAAATTCAAGAAGATGTAAATGCAGTAAGGGAAGAGATTTTAATTCTTCCAAGGATCTCAAAGAAAGTTGAGGAATTGGTGGAAATGGAAAAAGATAAGGTTTTATAATTCTCATACCTTATTATTTTCATATAATGTTTTAAATCTAAAATATTTTTTTGTTTGAAAATACAGGATGCAAAAGTTTGAAGCAAAATGATGATATCTAGTTTGAAGCAAAAAGATGATATCTAGTTTGAAGCAAAAGATGATAGTTCCATCACTATGTTTTTCTATTACATTTGTTTTTCTATTTCTATTACATTTGTTTTTCTATTATAGACAAAGGTGTAGTTGCAGTTGTGTTAGTTGAGCTAGCATTTTGTATGAAAATGTTGTTAGAATGAAGGTGGCGATTGATTTGCTGCTAGGTAACCACAATGAATATAAAGAGATATTGATGGACAAGGCTGACGATGTTTTGTATGCAAGGTCATTTCCATCTCGCAGGCGTGTTTTATGTCCTGGCTGCTGCAGATTATTTTGAAGGCACATATTCACTGTATGATGTTTGTTTGGTTGGACATTTGTGAATCTGTTGTTGTACGATTTTGTGAAATTTTGTTGTGGTTTTGTATTGCTAAAGTGTCGTTTGCCTTGCGTGAAATGCGTTTTGTTTGCGTATTCATTGCGGAACGGCCTCGTACAACACTACAAGTGGAATTTGTATGTTGTCATCTTGTGAAAATCGCGAGGTGACTATGTATTTCTGTTTTTCTATTATAAACAAAGGGTTTATGTTTTTGTAGAGGTTATTTTTTTTAATTTGGGTCAAGTGAATCCAACCAAGAGTCAACCCAGTCCACTTCTATTAAAACCTCACGAAATAATAAACATTACTGAACCAGTTGGGTTAGAATTTCAATGGACTCAAATAAACCATTCGAAGTCGACTGGTCCAATCCATATCAATTCATTTGTTTTCAACCCATTAACCCAAAAACTCAGTCCATCCAAACCAAGTCTTTGCGCGCCACACAGATTGGTCGGACTGCGCCGGTTTTCATTATTTTGTCTAGCTTCATCTCAAATACAAAAATTTTACCTCATACCCCATCATTTATTCCTCTACCCTTACATTATATTTTTTTGACCAAAATATCCTCATATAAATATGTGTAAAATTTTCCTAGTTTAACTATTTGATCCAACATTCGATAAATGAATCTATCTTTAAAGGTTTTTTTATTAATACTCTCAACAAACATGACAAGTATTATTTATCTATACTATTATATAATCTTATAATGTCTCCATCAAAAATTTCCCGCTAAGTTTTTTTTTTAATTAATTAATTAAACACAAATATAACTTTGTGGAAAAAAATGTATAAATTGATGAGATATAAATTTGATTAGTGAGAAGATAACTTTGTGGAAAAAAAGGAATAAAGTAATGAAATTAGTGGGGGCTATAAATTTTTTTAACCGTTTTATGAATTATATTTATTAATTTATTTTTGTATTAAGTAATTTTAAGGTTTGCATTATGTTTTATTTATTTACTTTTTTTTTATTTTTTTTTATTTAATATTACTATGTGGCCTATTAATATGGGGTTAAAAAGATGTTAGGAGTAGAGAGGTTAATTGTTTGCATGATATAAATAGTGAGTGGTGAGTGGAGAGAAATTTGAGAAATAAACATGTTAAATATTTTAATTTAATTATTATTTAATTAATAATAATAAAATATTAATTAATAGAATGAAGAGAAAAGTTATGCTGGATAGTTACTATGTTAACATATTATTGGTGGGTGGCTGCATTTAAAAAAAAATTCAGGACATGTTTTATTGTATTTGTTAATTAATAATTATTTAAAATATAAGAATGTGGCTTAATCAGAAGTTTTAAACGGAGTTTATAATAAATATATTTATATTTAATTAATTAATTAAAGGAAAACGTTTTAACGAATTTTTTTTATAGAAACATTATGAGATTATATAATAGTATAGATAGATAATATCTGCCATGTTTGTTAAGAATATTAATAATGTAGCTTTTAAAGATAGATTTATTTATTAAATTCTGAATCAAATAATTAAATCAAGAAAATTTTACACTTATTTATATGAGGATATTTTGGTAAAAAAAATATAATATAGGGGTAGGAGAATAAATGATATTTTTGAATTTTCACATAATATCTAAGAGCATCTTTAGTGAGAGTAAACTAAATGGATAATCTAAGATATTTTTTTGTGGGCCTAAAGTGATTTGTAGGATTTAAAATATTTATAGTTGATTTGAGTTGTTTTTACTTTAATAATGGTTGCTTGTAAAAAACTAAAACTTGACCCCACATTTTATATTTTTTTTATATTTTTTAACTATGGTTGTTTGAAAAAAATACATAGCCGTTGAATTAGAGTTGTGGGGGCTTTATTGATATTTTAGTAATATAAAATAATAATAAAATAATAATCAGAGTCATTGAAATTTAATAGTGTGCGTTTAGTTATATAGTTGCCAAAAATTAATTGTTAATTCCATTACTGTCATTTCATTCTTATTCCAATACAAATTTTTTATAATTACCGTTACTATTAAAAATTTTAATACTACAAACCTGCACTAAAGATACTTTAAATAATATATTGGATTCTCTCTAATCTCATACTTTAAGCCCAATTTTTTTTTATGAAGAAGCCCATCATCATTCATCTGACCAAAATAAACACATTTTTATTTTTACAACAAAAACAAAACCCTTGTTATATTATTTATTAACTAAAACCCTAAATCAACAAAACTCAGCAGCTGTATCAAATCAAAACGCAAAGCACTCATCACTGAATCATCTCGCAGCATATTGAAGCTACATTTCTGCAATTTCACCCTAAAGCAAATGAAGAACAAGAACAACCACGACGAGAACAAAGGTAAGAAGAAGATGAAGAACAAGGATAAGACTAATTCAAAGTCTGATAAATCATTACACAACAACGACAATGTCATCGAAGATCCTCGATTTTCATCTGTTCACACTGATCCTCGTTTTCGTGAGGCTCCAAGGCATCAAACAAAGGTTTCAATTGATTCTCGATTTGACCGCATGTTCACTCACAAGAGTTTTATGCCTTCTTCTGCACCTGTTGATAAGAGAGGAAAACCTAAAGATAAAGCTAATTCGCAACAACATTCGCTTCGCCATTACTATAAAATCGACAAAGATGAGAAAAAGAAAGTAGAGCATAGTAGTGATGAGGATAATGATGATGATGAAGAGGAAGAAGAAGAGGGATTGGTGAAAGTTGATTCTGCAAAACCGGAGATTGAAAGTGGAATTGAGTCCGAAGAGACAAGTGAATCTGAACCGGATGATATAGATTTGGATACGGATGAAGACACTGATGTAGATACAGATACCGATGGAGATGTAGATGAGAAAGATTATGAAGAGGAAGCACCTGAAATACAGGTACACTTCTGAATTATTTGGTTTAGTTCAAATCGGCAGAAGAACTTGTTCCGGAAAATATTCAAACTAGATTTCATTCCATTTCATTCGGCTCCATTTCATTATGCCATGGTCATTTTAAGATATCCAAGCGCTGACATATTGGATTCTTATTGTTATTCATATTATGTTGTCGTTATTATGATATGGACAGGAAGAGATAGCAGAGATTGAGAAAGAAACTCATAGGCTTGCTGTTGTTAATATGGACTGGAGGTATGTGAAGGTGAGTTATCGAAGGTTAATGTTTTGTTGATGTGATCAATTTTTAATTTTAGAAATTAGAAATATTTAATTTAATTATTTTGTTTCGAGGTGGAAGATTTTGTTTGGGGTTAACGTGTTGTTTGTGTTTGTTGGTTGTAGGCTGTGGACTTGTATGTATTGTTTTCTTCATTAGCCCCGTCTAATGGACTGATCAAATCGGTAACTATTTATCCAACTGAGTTTGGCCTTCAACGAATGCAAGAGGAGGAAGTTAAAGGGCCTGTTGGTCTATTTGATGATGAAAATGAAACAAGTGACGAAGATGATAATGGCGACAGTGATGCTGACAATGAGAAGCTGCGTGCTTATGAGAAGAGCAGGATGCGGTAAATAAGAATAAAATTGGTTCATATTGTGATTTATCTGTTTGAATGCAGTATATAATAGATTAAGCTTTGTGCTACAATGCGGTAAATATATCATTCATTGTGTCAAGGAGTAATTCATGATATTGTAAGTGGGAATTTAATGTGTGAAGATTTAACTTTTTGTTTCCTCTTACTTTGTTATCCTTTTTTCTTGTAATCTAGAATGGGTTAGTATGGTTAACAATGTTGTAATATCATGTAAACTTTTTTTTCTATGGAGATTACAATACACTCCCCGGAAAACATGGAAAACAATGGAACACATGTTGTTATTAACTGTTATATCACTAGTCCAGACCCATATGTCACGTGTCACTCAAGTTATTGTTATTCCTATTCCATGTTTACTATGTGATGTGCCCATCTCCCTTTTTCCTCTCTTACTATGATGTAACTTGATTCTTTATTTGGCTCTTCAGTTACTATTTTGCTTTGGTGGAATGTGACTCAAGTGCCACAGCAGATCACATTTACAAAGAAAATGATGGTGTTGAGTTTGAACACTCGTCTAATCCACTTGATTTAAGGTTTATTCCGGACAATATGGAATTCAAACAGCCACCTAAGGATGTTGCAACAGAGGTATTTAACGTGTAATATGCTGTATTTATGCATTATAATAATAGTTGCAAGATATTGACTTATTTCTCTTCTTAGACACCTGCAAACTATGAGAACAAGGATTTCTATTCTCGGGCACTTCAGCACAGTAAAGTTGAACTTACTTGGGATGAGGATGAACCTGCCCGAGCAAATACTTTGAAACGCAAATTCAATGATGAGCAGGTCAGTTTATTGTATTAACCCACTGTATACTTCGTGGATAAATTTCTCTGAAAAATATTGGGCGGTGTTACTTTGGAACCTCTGAGTAGTTACATCTTTTTTTTATTTAGTCATTTTCATGTAGTTTCCATATTTATAAAGTTATAGAGTCCTATCCTGCGAAGGAAATATACTCAATTTAGTGATGCATGCTTGTAAATATCCATACCATGCACATTCATATATGCCCACAAACTGCATCTTTATATACTGGCATTCTTTTGTGCCTTTAATAACCAGTTCAAATGTTATAATTTTGTTAATTGTTATGTATCTGTGTGGTAGGAGAAATTAGGGATCATTGGTATTTCCTTATGCAATGATTTTATATTATTTATTTCATGTAGTTTGTTTTGTAATTAGCTCTTTGTACTAAGCTGTAAGTTTTTATTTTTCCTTTCCACGGTAAAAGCTGGCTCAGTTGGAAATGGATGAATTAGTTGCATCTGATGTGAGTGAAAGTGATGACAGTGAGGATAACAATGAGACTGTTGGTCATGCTGATAAAAAGGCTAGAAAAAAAGAAATGTATCTTGACTTGCTCGGCAATAATTCCGATAAAGATGACGAAGAGGATGGTGTCCAAGATATGGAGGTGACCTTCAATACAGGTTTGGAAGATATAAGTAAACATATTATGGAAAAGAAGGATAAAAAATCAAAATCTGTTTGGGAAGAATATCTGAGGAAACAACGTGAGAAAAAGAGAGCCAGGAAAAATAAATCAAAGTACTCATCAGATGATGATGATGATAGCGATAATACTGATCAACAAGCAGCTGGAGAAGCAGACGACTTCTTCATGGAGGAGGAACCTGATATTACGAAGAAGAAGACAAAGAAAGTGGAAAGTAAAAAGGACAAAGATCAGAAGCTCAAAGACATGGATGGGGTAAGCAAAGAAGAGCTTGAACTATTGGTTGCTGATGACAAGGGAACAGATACTGGTCTCAAGGGATATAATCTGAAGTTTAAAAAAGGCAAGGGCAAAAAGACAGAGGGTGTTATTGATGAGGGGAAAATACCAAACAGTGCGTATGATGATCCACGTTTTGCATCTATTTACTCACCTGACTTTGCTATTGATCCCACCGATCCACAATTTAAAAGGTATTTTATGACATATAGATGCAGTTTATTGTAGATAGCAAAGAATAAGATCTTGATTTTTTTCGTCATGACTATTTTACTTCTATGGGGTAAACTTTGGGGTACTGTTTTCAAATATTGAAAAAAAAAAATTGCATGATAGATATGTTGCAACGATTAAATTATAACATTACCCTGGCAGTGAAACTTTTATTGACTAAATATTAACTTGCAAGTGGCGATGTTTTTATGGCCTGATAATATTCTCTTGTCACTCAAAGGTGACATTTCTTATGATTGGAATGATCTTGATCTATACAATAGTACTTCCTGAAATTCAAGAAGATTGTGTAAGCTGTTTTTCATGTAGTGAACTCACTTTTCTCCAAAATATATTTGTGAATGATTGCAGGAGCGCGGTGTATGCCAGGCAGCTGGCACAGAAGCAGCAGAAGGGTCATATGGAATTACCGCCAGAAAGGGAGCACCCAAAGTTTCCGAAAGAAACAAAGTTGTCTTCTGGTGATTCTGGCATGGTGCAGAAGGTCGAGGAAGAAGGGTTGGATGATTTAAAATCAAAGAAAGATAAATTAGAGTTATCATCTTTGGTTAAATCGATTAAGATGAAATCAAAACAAGTCCAGCTATCCTCTAATGGCAAAACAAAGAAAGATGGAAAGTCACAATTTAAAGGTAGGGAGAAAAGAAAGCACTAAGTCTCAACTTTGTAGTCCAATCTAATCTACTTGCTTGAATGCTAGAAACCAACGAACATATGAAGTTGTTGTAGCCTCTTCCGCATGTAGGCAGGCAAAATTGTGGTGGAAAAGGGCTGGTATTGGATGTATTCAGGCTCAGCTAGTTAAATTTTGTCAAAAACTTTCTTAATCACACAATGCTTGTTAATTTATTTGCTGCAAACTAGGTGGATACTTTTTGTAATTTAATATTTATACATAACTTCTCATTGGAGAAGAAGACAGGAGCCTCCTAACCACTGTTCTAAGCCTCTAGTTTTTTTTTTTCTTTCTTTTTTCGCAAAGTTGGAACTCATTCAAAACGAGCCAAATCCAGGAAGCATGGGTACGTATATTTTATAGAAATGACGATTCTTCTACTATGTGATAAAAATCAATCATTTGTACACATCACAAATGTATTTTCAAACTATACATAACACGAAAAAGTAATATGTAATAGGGAGGTTGGAATTAGATGTAAGGTTTATTGTCGTCATTAAACGAAAGAGGTGACAAGTAAATGCAATACAAAGTGTTAATAAAAATGTGGTTATTCATTTAAAACCAGATCAATAGTATCTAAAAATGGTTGAGGGTGGAAGATTGTTGTAAAATGAAAAATTCACAATTATTGTTTATCCGATATATTCGAAGGTGATGCATTTGTGAGGCGTTTAAATGCAGACAAGTGGAAATTAACATGTTGATTTGACAAAGTATTGTGTTTCACCCAAACACATATCTCTATCATTGCATGAACGAGATTCCAAAAATGTCACTCAGATCACACAAATATATAAACCACCAAAAAGAGGTTAGAGATTCTAGATGTGAGATACAACATTTGTTTAAGTTGATAGATGATAAACTATGTTTATTACGGTAGAATAATAGATGACTCACATGTCTTGAGAGATATTTTTTAAACCCACTAAGATTCAAGTTGAAAAATTTTCTATTGTGTTGTTTATGAACATCACAATACAAATAATAATTATTTGAAATTATTGGTATGACATCAACTGAGTTGATATTTTCTATCGCGGTTGCTTATATGAAAACAAGCATACAAAATTTTGCTGGGTATGATTAAGCTAAAACAATTAATTATTAAAGAAGGGTTATGTCCCTAAATAATTTTTGACTAATGGAGATTTTTCTTTGATAAAAGCAATTGAATTTATTTTTCAAAGGCGATTAATTTGCTTTATCGATTTCACATAAATAAAATTGTTGGTTCAAGATACAATGAATAAATATGTTGTGAATAATATACAAGAGGGAATAAACACATTACAGACAGATATGGTATCATCCATTATGAAGTGGAGTATCAACCACAATTACATTAACTTGAGCAAACATGCGTGATTGTAGTCTATTTATTGGATTATGTAAAATAGCATTTTTATTTTATTTTATAAAATCCCACTAAAAAATTATTTAATAAAAATATAAATTATATATTAACCATGAAATAATCATTTTCTATTTAATCTGATAATTTCTCTAATCATCTCTAATAATTAAAATATCTAATTATATCTAAATTAAATTATTTTATTTTATTTCTCACTCTTAATACTCTATATTTCTATTATTTAATAAATTGCTAAAATACTCTTAAATTCCATAAAACACATGAAATAACAAATAATAACAACAATTCAAGCAAGACATACGTATTCACTCAATTAAATCTAATAATTTAAATAAATTAATAAACTAAAGTCGGGGTGTTACAACTCTTCCCCATTTAAAAAAGATTTTCAACCTCGAAAGTCACCTCGCGAAAACAGCTATGGATACGACACCCTCATTCAGCTCTCCAGCTCCCACGTAATGCTCCCTCCAGCAGGTCCTCCCCGCACCACTTTCACCAGAGAAATTTCTTTACCTCTTAAATGTTTCACTTCTCTGTCCTCAATTCGCATGGGTGATACCTCAACAGTTAAATTATCTTTTACTTGCACATCGCCCATTTGGATCACATGTGATGGATCGTGAACATACTTCCATAACTGAGACACATGGAAAACATCATGGAGGTTAGAAAGAGACAGAATTAAGGCTACTCAGTAGGCAACAACTCTAACTCTCTAGGTAATCTGATAAAGACCAATGAAGCGAGAAGTGAGCTTCTTAGACTTTAGCGCATGACCAACACTAATCACAAGAGTGGATCTCAACAACACATGGTCACCCTCTCGGAACTCAATGGTCTTCCTTCGCTTATCATGGTAGCTCTTTTGTCTGCTATACGAGACCTTCATCTTCGCTTAGATTATCTTGACTCTCTCAATAGTCTGCTGAACAACCTCAGGTACAAGCATCACACACTCTCCAGACTTAAACCAATACAAAGGCATCTTACATCTCCTACCATACAAAGCCTTAAAAGGTGTCATTCTAATACTAGAATGGAAACTGCTGTTGTAAATAAACTTAATCAGCAATGGATAATTATCTCAAACACCTCATTGCTCCAAGACACAAGACATCGACAAGTCCTCTAAAGACTAAATAGTTCTCTTAGTCTAACCATCTGTCTGCGGATGGTAGGCAGAACTCAACCTTAGCTTACTGCCCAAATCTTCATGCAAAATTTCCCAAAATTTGGACGTGAATCTCATATCTCTGTCAGAAACAATACTCGACAAAATACCATGCAACTTCACAATCACACAGGTGTAGATCTCCGTTAGTCTCTACAATGGAAAAATATCTTAATGGGAATAACGTGAGCCTACTTAGTTAGTCTATCCACAACAACCCAAATCGTTTCACTTCCCCTAAGAGTATTCAACAGTATTGTCACGAAATCCATAAAGATGATGTCCATTTCCCATTTAGTTATATCCAATGGTTGCATCAGTCCAGAAGGCTTCTGATGCCCAATCTTTGACTTCTGACAAGTCAAACAAGCGTAAACAAACTGTACGATGTCTATTTTCATTCCCAGACACCAAAACATCTTCTTAAGATTTTGGTAGATTTTAGTAGCCCCGTGATAAATACTAAAACTGCTTCTGTGAATTTCCTCTAAAATCATTCTCTTAAGCTCTAACACATCAGGTACACAAACTATGTTCCGAAACTTTAAGATTTCATTCTCATCAACTCTAAAGTCCATATCTCTATTCTAGTTAACTGATGGCAAATAATCAAACAAGTCTACATCCAGCTTCTGGATTTCTTTGATAAATGAAGAAAACTGCTAGTCAGCTTCAGCATACCCAACCTTACACTATTAGGAGACACCTCGCATACTAAGCTTATATCTCTGAATTGTTCAGTCAAATCCAATTCTCTAACCATTAATGCCGACATGTGCAATGACTTCTGACTCAAAGCATTCACTATAACATTGGCTTTACCATGATGGTAATTCAAACCAAAATCATAGTCATTCAAAAGTTCTAACCGTCTCATATGCCTCATATTGAGTTCCTTTTGATCAAATAGGTATTTCAAACTCCTGTGATCGCTGAGCATCTCATACCTCGAACCATAAAAATAGAGCCTTCACACTTTCAGCACAAACATCGCTGCTTTCAACTCTAAATAACCGGTAGGATAGTTTCTATCATGAATCTTCGGTTTTCGCGAAGCATAAGCTACCAATTTTCCACCTTGCATAAGCACACCACATAATCCCATCTTGGACATATCACAATACACCACAAAAGGTTCTTTCGCATCTGCTAAAATTAGAAATGGTGTCCTTGTCGACTTCTTCTTCAGTTCTTGAAAAATTTCTTCGCATTGGACATCCCACACAAAAGCTTGGCATTTTCAAGTCAATTGAGTCAAAGTTAAAGCTAACTTCGAAAATCCTTCTATAAACCTCATGTGATAACCAGCCAAACCAATAATTTTTTTTATCTCAATAACAAACTTAGGAGTCTCCCACTACAACATTGTGTCTACCTTAGATAGATCAACCGTTATACCACCACAAGAAATCACGTGACCAAGGAAACTCATATCACGCAACTAGAATTCACACTTGAAAAACTTTGCATGTAGATTCTTCTCTTGCAAAGTCTGTAGCAGAACTCTCAGATTTCTGCATGTTCTTCATCTGTCTTTGAATACATCAAGATGTCATCGATGAATACCATAACAAACTGATCCAAATAGGGGATGAAAGATTTTGTTCATGTACTCCATAAACACACTTGTCGCATTAGGCACACCAAACGACATAATTGAGTACTCATAACGACCATTTAAGGTTCTAAAAGAAGTCTTCGGAATATCTTCAGTTTTCACTTGAATCTGATGATAACCTGATCTCAAATCAATCTTGTTGAAAACATAAGCACCTACCAACTGATCCATAAGGTCGTCAATTCTCGTAAGAAGATACTTTTTCTTAATTGTGGCCTTATTCAGATGCCGATAGTCAACACACAACTTCATACTACCATCTTTTTCCTTCACCAATAACACTGGTGCTCCCCACGGTGACACACTAGGTCTAACAAACTTTTCTGAAGCAGATCTTCTAACTTTTTCTTCAGCTCGTCCAACTCTGATGTAAAAATTTTATATGAAGTCATCGACATAGGTTTATTACCAAGTACTAAATCTATGGAGAACTCAACTTCATGTTTCGGAGGAAAATCACAAATATCTTCAGGGAAAATATCAGGAAACTAATACACCATTGTATTATTTTGTGAGTCGGGAAACAGAGTGTTACGTAGTTGGTATCGTGGTAGGTTGGTCCATCCGGTTAGGTTGTGTAATTTTGTTTGTTCCCTGGAATGCGGCATGTTTATGAAACACTGTTGGTGCTCATTTTTTCTAACCACTTTCTAGCAGGAGCGGGATTGAAACAAGTGAGGGGAGAAGTTTCTCTTTCTTTGATATGTTCAGGTGTAGAGGGTTGGTTCAGTGTGTCGCTAGTTGCAAGAATGTAGCACATGTCGCATCCTAGGGAACAAACAAAATTACACAACCTAACCGGATGGACCAACCTACTATGATACCAACTATGTAACACTCTGTTTCCCGACTCACAAAATAATACAATAGTTCAAGTATATTTTCACCCAATGGTGTCACGCATTGTCAAATAAAACACCCGTTATTAAATTAAACAACTCGCAACAGAAATATAAAATAGTAAACAACACCTTCACATGGTCTCAAAAATAAAATTACTCAATTAAAACATCAGTTTTGAAAAACAACTCAAGAATCATCCAAATAAAAGAAAGAATGTTTAATCCCCTGTATTACAATACCAAAGCAACACAAAGGTTACTAGACAAAACGGTAAAACAAAGAAGAAGGCCATGACCGCCATTCTCCAACACAACAACACTACATGCTACTTGTATCTGCAACATGAGCATAAAATCTCAACACAAAAACGGAAATGATGAGAATAATACATACAAATGTTAGTGGTGAAAGTAAATAGCAGGACAATTATAAAAGTACACATATCAATCTCACACAGCAGCAACAACAATGAAATTTATAATGCAAATGCGAAAGGCACCAACTTCTCCTCTAATATGCACGTGATACCAGGTTTTTGGACATCAAAGGTGTGTTACTAATTTATCCTTGTCTTCGGTTCCTCTCTGAATATATGTCCCTCTCTGGACATGAGATCGTCATGGTTTCTCTTTGAACCTGACCTCACTGGACTAAAATCCTACCTAACTTCAATATATATATATATATATATATATATATATATATATATATATATATATATATATATATATATATATATATATATATATATATATATATATATATATATATATATATATATATATATATATGTGCATGATTTATGGTAGAAAACAACAATAGAACTCAAACTATCACCAAAATCATTCTCAAAATTTCATACTCAAACAAGTTCCTCTCTTGAACCATGAGTTTTCCAATTATTAGGTCTCATTGTAATTCCTCTGAATTACTCAACTCAAAAAAATATATAATTCATTTTAATAATCATATTATAACTCAAAAATCATCAACGACATAGTAAAAGTGTATTATAACTCAACAACTCAAAAATTCATCATCATACATCAACAACTGAGTAAAAGTGTATTATTACTCATCACCTCAAAAATTCATCATCATACTCAAAACATGAGCATTTTATTAAATACTCATAACTCGTCAAACGTTATAACAATTCACATATATAACTCAACAGAGTTCTCAAAGAACTCTAAACATTTTTGCAACAACTCTTATATCTCAAAAATGACTCTAGAATATTCAAAAATACTCTAAAGTGCTCAAAATTGCTCTATTGACAGTTTTTTATATGTGATAACTCTATTGAACTCTAAAGGCTGCCAGTTTGACTCAAAATTAACACAAAGATAACTTAAGGGTCACAGATTAACAGTGCTCCACAACAATATCCCAAAAGGGGCATATTATACAGAGAAATGCATCCATCAGTAACCTCGGGGTTTTTGGTCAAACCCATTTAGTCACCAACAAGGCCACAAACCGTGTAATGTGAAATGTAGACATAGGAAGGTAAGAACCTCTCACCATACTGTCTGCTTAAAGGCACCCATGAGTAAAGAAATCTCCTTTACCTCGAAGTTTGAAGGTTTATAGAATTCTCTATATTTTCTCACGATCGCTCCAACGCTTCTCTCTTTCCACTTCAGATACACCTCTTTTCTCAAATTCCAATTTTTCAAGTAAAACTCTCAAACCCCTCACGTAAGTATAAGTATAACCATAATAATTCTAAATTGTTTTCACACACTCTAATATCTGATTTTAATTAAAATAATATTTTTATTTTATTTTATAAAATTCCATTAAATAATTATTTAATAAAAATCTAAATTATATATTGACCATAAAATACTCATTTTAATCGGATTATTTTTCTAATTATCCCTAATAATTAAAATATCTAATCATTTCTAAATTAAATCATTCTATTTTATTTCTCCGCTTTCAATACTCTATATTCCTATTATTTATTAAATTACTAAAATATCTTTAAATCTCATAAAACACATTAAATAACAAATAATAACAACAATTCAAGGAAGACATATATATTCACTCAATTAAATTCAATAATTTAAATAAATTAATAAACTAAAGTCGGGGTGTTACATGATACTTAGCAAGTAATGCATACAATGTAGGAAACACCGTTGCAATTGAATTCATAAATGTGGTGTCATGATTAGTGAAAATTGCATTTGACATGTTTTCTTGGTCCCTTCAAAATGATCTTGCACATTGCCAAATCTCATGTAACATTATCTTTCTTTTTGGATTCAAAAATATCAAATCCACTAAAAAAAGTCATTAGCACCAATAATTTATAATAGTGGAAGTCTATACTTGTTTGTTTTGTATATTGAATAAATTATAAGCACACTAGAAAATGTGTTAAACTACTTGATGGAATCAAGATGATCAAAATATATCTCAAACTATGACATTATCCTCACAAACTTTGTACCTAGGAACATAATAGCCATCCTCTAAAAGCTTCAAGAGTTGTTCCATTTCAGATTTTGGGCCTCTTACCGCCATGTTGTTTTGGGCATGCACATTGTATACTTGTTTGATAATAGAAACATTTAGAGGTATTTTCTATTTCAAAGTTGCGAGTACGTTTTTTGGTGCCACCATGTTTAATGTCATGTTTGAAATAAGTTATTTTTCCTTCGGAATAAGGTGTCATACAATGAGATGACCGGAAAACTTGTAAAACATGATTATATATACCAGAAACCACATTAAATTTCCATGTATCATTTGCCTTAAAGTATCGACGCAATTTAAACGGACACTCACATTTTTTTGATCGGGTGTCATCATGTTTCAACTTTCTATTCGGTGGATGGTATGTGTCACTTCTTTCGCATCTCATTATTACAAATGTTTGTCTTCTATCAGAACCATTGTCATCATATCTTCTTATTACAACTCCAATTTCAATTTTCCACCCTCCATGTAGACTCATTGTAGCACATGTTCACGAACAATAAACTCTTGCTTATTTATAAATTGTAAATTGTTTACAAATATCTATCTCAACAACAATCAGTCTAACATCCGATTTAACATAATCTGTTTTAACATTATCATTCACAAAAGCCAGTTTAACACCATGCTTTCACTTTGACCGGTTTAATATTCATCCTCTCAATAATCTTAAAACCTATCAATAATCTTGAAAAACATATCCTAATACATCATATCTAATTCGGTCAATCCCATAAAAAGAGATTTATAACTCAAACAATGAGATAAATCCGGATACCAAACTTTAATTTTCCAGATACTAGAACACATGTTTGGGGAGATTAAACATATTTAACTCCAAAAGTTTGATGTAGAAGTAATAATAGTAAAAAAGACTAAACATAATTAACTCCAAAAGTTTGATCTGATAGTAAAAATAGTAAAAAAGACGGGTCTTAGACTCGAAGGTTCCAAATTCGAGTAAATATAAATGCATTTGTAAATGTTCTTTTCACTCTAAGGTATTCTCTACCTTGGACCGGAGCACCATTCCCAATAGTAAACCAATGTTGCTGTTTTTTGTTTAGTAAAAGGAAGAACAATTATATGTATATGTTGCTATTATCTTGGAAGCCAAGATTAACTTCAACAAAATGATGACATGAAATTATTTTCGTTGCTACACAAAGGTAGTTGACAAATACAAAACATTACTACACAAGAGAATTTGATACATCAACAAAATAACCATATGCTGACTCGGTAATTTAAGCTATATGGTCTCACGTACATGGTATATGACATTTCAGATGTAACAGTCCATGACATGCAAACTACTCAATAGAAGGGTAAACAAAGTTGCATTTAAACTGTTGTAGGATCGTTGATCACACCCAAGAAATCATCTTTTATGGTACCTATACAGAACTGCAAAAAAGAAAGGGGTAATAGGAACAATAATTAGAAAAGTAACATCAACAAAGTAATTGGACAATTTGTGTTCACAATTTTCTCATAAGTTCTAATCTGTTCTGCATCTAACTAATGAAGTAAAATTGCAGCATGGAGCAGTAATAAATCTTGCAATCCACAAAAGTTTATGGTAAATAGTGACATAAATGTGGGCTTACAATTTCGGTAGCGTCCACTCTAGTCCCAATTATCTTTAGTCTCACTTCACTATCTTTCTGGATCTTAACCTATAAGAAAAACAAATGATCAATGCTAAAAACAAACAAGAAAACACATTATATTGAACCCCTAAAAAACAAGTTGCTATCTTCTTCTCCAATGAGAAGGTATTATAAATGATACATACTGATCCATCTGAAGTAGTGTAGTTTGGCATGTCTCCAGATTGGAATTCCATATCATCTGGAATCAACTGAAAGGAGGAAAAGAAGGGTCTCATCAAGACAAAAGAATGTGAGAATAGAAATAAAGGCAAAACAAAAAAGAAAGAAAATACTAAGAATAACTTAAGACATGTCATGTTTTTTACTAGTCTAATGTCAAGAATAATAAATGAGAAACATATTTTTAGTACTGATATTGAAAAACAACAATTACAGTATCTTAGGTATAATTGTATAATATGAAGATGATAGAGGCCTTTTCTCATACATGGTTTGAAACAAAGATTTGAACTGGTCCAGCTTCAGCGAAAAATCCCATCTGTGTAAACAGAACTCAACAAAATAAACCACAATATCCACACAGTAGAGTTTGAACACGCTAGATAAAGCTAAAGAGTAAAATGTAAGGTCAAAGGAATCATATCGTATAAACCTTGTTAACCATGGTAACAACAGCTTCTAAGATCTCTCCCTTAAATGGTCTGAAGACAACACATTGGTACTTAACCGGAAATGTCACAAACCCTGTCCCATCACGAATTATCCCTTTCCCAATGTTTTCAATCCCTGTAACCGCCACCACAAATCCATGTCGACCACTGTATAATAGTTGAAAATCCAAAAGTTACATTACTCAAAAGACCAAAGAGATTCGCTATGAAATTAGACGAATAAAAGAACCCGCTTATCATGCACAGCGCAAGAGTATTGCATAAAGTCGTTTATGAAATATAAAAATAACTATACACTAATAATTGCATTTCTTCAAATGATTAACCTGCAAGTGCCTTCGACGTCTTTCATCAGCTTGGAAACAAGATTTTCGCGAAGGTTACGACCAAAGTAACGAGGGTGCAGTTGCATGTTTCGTTCCAGCACTATGTGGAAAAACATTTTTCTTATTTCTCCCTTTTCACCAATCTAGACAGTTACGCCTAGAGACACAACAACACAAATCGTAAGAGCGGATTCAAAAATATACCATACCGTAAAACAGTAAAATCCATATATTAAAACGGAAAATTATGCAGTAGCAAAGCAAGAACTGGTGAATGGTGGAGGATCAAAGGGAGACAGGGAGGCACAAAATTCAAGTTGTAGGAAGAACACGGTGAATGGGTGGAGGGTCAATTAGGGTTCCTTAATTACTGCTTTAATCAAAATCACACAAACCCTAACCTAAACACACAAAATTCAGAAACAAAAATTTCACCTGCCGCGTGGAATGATGGAAGGAGGTGGCAGATTGCGGCAGATGCAGGACGAACAGAGTAACGCCGCCGGCGGTGGATGAAAATTTTCAGAACAGGGAAACTACAGACTGTGAAGGGCGGGACTGACCTGCGTGAGGCGGAGAAGAAGTGAACTTTCTGTTGAGAGAGAAGAACTAAAATCTATTCTATTATTTTGAATACAATCAAATTTTTATATAGCTCATATTTTTATCTCTTTTCTTTCTATATTTTTTCCATATTTACTTTTTCTTTTTTCTACATTTCTATTGTTTATTTTTAGATTTTGTTTTGTTGTTAATTTTTTTTCTTGTCTATAATCTTCGATATATTAACTTATAAATTTTTTCTTTTTAATTATTAATTTGGTCGGCTTATTTTACATGATTCACAATTTTTTCATTTTAAATTAGATTAAATTTGTTCTTCTCTTTTCTTTTGCTAAAAATAAAGAAACGTGTCCGTTTTTTTGACATATTTTTATCTATAAAATTTTATAAAATATTTGTATATTATTATTTGTTATGTTTCACAACTGACGCGTAATTCAAAATAATATAAAATTAATTTTAAATATAAACATATAATTGAGATGTCAAAATTATTTATGTTTAAAATTGAAAGACTAATGTCAAAAATTAAATAGAATAGAAAGTCAAAATTGTAGTTAAATCAAATTTTCTTTAAATTATAAATTTGTATATATGTTCATGTACTTTTTCCATACTATGTTTTATTATGTCAAAAAATCAATAGTTTACTTTAATATTTATATTATAAAAGTATAAATATGTACTCGTAAAAGTACATTAATAATAGCTCAACCACTTAGAGTTAGTAAAATTGTTGTGACTTTTTGATCGATTATTTATTTTGTGAATTGTGTATATCTTTTTTCTTGTGCTCATTCCTTTATATAGTAATTCAAACTCTTCATGTACCTAAAGTTCATTAGAGGTTATCCAATGTGATTGTCCATAATTCATGTGGTCTTTTAAAGGTGATTGACAATGAGACTTAATTATCAAATGCCATACCATAATGCTCTCATCAACCATAAATGTGTTATTCATCGTATCTCAATCAAATATTGCTCCTATATCTAGTCTTGGGTCGACATGATCAACGTGTCCGATCAGTTGCCTCAGCCCAACCATGTTTAGACAGACGTTTATCCATCAGGGGGCTCTATTGGGTCTGGGTTATAATTCAGGCCATCAAAGGTGATTCAGTCCGAGAAACTGGGCATGTACACAGTCCGTAAAACATGAGTTGTGTATGGGCAAAATGCGTTTATGAGACCTACTAGAAAAATGGACATGTACACAATCCCTCAAGTATGAGTCGCGTAGGAGCAAAATGTTTCCCTGAGATTGGGTAATAACTGTCCGACGCCCATCCCCAGACAATCCTTTTCGGGTGAGCTTGCTCTGATATTTCCAAATATGGTGGCCTTTGATTGTGATAGTCTAATGTATGTTGGTTGCCATATTATTCCAGTTACACTAGCTGTGATGTTTGCCAAATATCTTGGAAATAAAAGTAACTTACGACGTTATCTCCTAGAACGCTAGGAAGATAGCTTTAAGTGCAACTGTCATTTTATCTACCACTCAAACCTTATAAATAGGCCTCATAATTTCTCATTTCTTTCATATTTTCACTTCACCTCACAAACTTGTAACAAACGTATCTGCATTTTTCTCCCTCCCATATTCTGAATCTATAGCAAACGCTCGCAACACCAGGTAATATCCTTTTTTCTTTATGATTTTTCTTTCTTCTTTCACGATGTTTATTCAAGAGTGTGACACATTTGTAAGGGTCGTAGATACCCAAAACAATGTTGAGATATGCGCGTTATGGATTTATTGTCTAAAAAACTCAAAATGTTGTTCATGTAGAGTAGGTTGGAGGTTTGTAGAAATTGAGCTCTTCGGTAGATACAAGAGTTCACCAACTGGTAGTTCAGAGAGTGAATCACCTAGTGATAGCGACATTGACTTAGTAATGTCTTCTTCCTTAGGTCGACTAGATCTAACATGGCTTTCTCAACCTCTAATCAGAGTTTCTTTTTGTGAAAAAGCTATGAAAATTGACTTAATATGACTTGTTCATGTCTGACCACCTCAATAACATCGGCGAAGCAGGGAGGGCAAGTTTGTTAGGCATCCCAAAGACATTTCAATTCTTTAACATCTATCTGATAAGGAGTGACGTCTTAACTTGTGCCATGTTCGAAGACTCTGATACTTCAACGAAGAATAAGAACAACCTAAAGGTTGAGCTCAAGAAGGTTAAGGAAAATTATGGGCTAAGCAAAATCACGGTGACCTCTGCTAACGATAGAATATCTACTCTTGAGAAGGACTTAATTGGTGCCAAGGGTCACCTCTAAAAAGGTTCGACGAGAGAAGGTCATATTCCTAGGGGAGAAAAGGACCCTTGAGATGAACATCCAGAGGTCAAAGCATCAAGCTTGCTAGAGTTGAGGCCGAGGTGATTATTAAGGTGGATCTTTAGGAGGCTCGCATTGATGGCCTCTTTTTTGCGGATTAAAGTTTTGAGAAGGCAAAAGAACAAATATGTTATTTGTACGTAGAGCTCAAACTTGGCGATCTAAATTACTTTAAGGCGGTGGTGGATGGTCGCTCTGTGGACAACCAACCCTTGAATGAAGAGACATAAACAATGTTTTCTCCCAAAGAGGTGGTGCCTATTGGCGAGGTTGATAGGGAGGTTGAAATTGTCCTTATTTTACCCAGGTTGATTACAATTTTCGTGAAGTAAATCATGATTTTTCTTTTATTCGTTTTGATTGTTTGCAAGCACTTATTTGCTCATGCCTTATAGACTTACGAGTCCCCGTATGGTTGTGGTAGATACCTCGTAGGGCTTCGCATGTATGCTTTAGAGCCCTCGTATGGTTTTTATAGATACCTCATATGGTGTCGCTCATATGCTTAAGAGTCCTTGTCGGGTTCTTGCGGATACCCCGTAGGTTTAAAAGTCTTAGTATGGTTCTGGTGGATACCTCGTAGGGCTTCACCCATAGGCTTAAGAGTCCATGTAAGAATCTTGCATTCTTGTCTGAGGAGTGCGTAAATCTATCACTGAGCTCTGTATATAGCATATAACTCACAAATAACTAAAACACTTATTGCATCTTAATAAAAATACATGCACTCACTAGGAAAATAGTGTAACCTTAATGTGTTGTTACTTTTTAAATATAAATTAAAAGTTACATTATGTCTAGCCTTTGAGGATTTGTTTAACTATAATAGTGTCTTAATTTCACAATGTTTCAGGTTCTAAGAACCTCTTCTCCTTCAAGGGTTTCTAATTTATATGATCTTCAGCATATTTTTTATCGTATCTCAGAAAGGTCTCTCCCAATTATGGAATAGTTTGTCTTTTTTTGCTGCCACAACTGCCCATTTCAATATAGGTCGCCTTCGTCCGTTGATCTAGGTTTCACCTTGGAATTATATCTTTTCGCCGCACTTTGTCGTGAACTCATGGATCGGGCGCATTTCTCTGACCTTTTCTATCAGGTTGGCAAAGCTCTCCAACTCGGTCTCGTTTTCTTTTTGTTGAAGTGCTTTCTTATCTTCATGTGGGCACTATTAATTTCAATCGAGAGCATCACATATGAACCATACGCCATCCTAAATAGGGTCTCCTTGGTCGATGAGCGTGGTTGTTTAATATGATCGCAATATCCTATGTAGAAGCTCAGCCCAAAGTCTTTTCGCCTCTTCCATGTTCTTTTCCATCAAGAGTATGATTTTGTATGTTGCTTATATCTACCCATTCGTTTGTGGATACTCGACCAAAATAAAATTCATATGGATTCATAACTATTGACAGATTCTACCGCAAATGAGTTGCAAAATTATGTCTCATTGGCAAATTGTTTGACCGATGATCTTTGGTAAGTTAAACCTGCAAATAATATTCCTATAATATAAGAATTGTACCCGCTCTACTGTTATTAAATGACAATGCATCTGGACAAAATACATACCAAATTGATTAGTTATTAAATGAAATTAATAATTGTAAAACTATGAAGTATACGGCAAGCAAAGAACCTATTGATCTTACTTCCAACTCATCTCACAATTAATAGGAACCTCTACAATCATGAACATCCAACTTATTGCAAATCCCCTAATTGTTAATTAAAAAATTAAAATTTAGGGTATTGAATAAATGAATTAATAAACAAATAAAACTTATTATTGTTACAACTAGCATTGAATATATCTAATCATTTAAACCATTTTCAAGAACATTGCAAAATTTCTGTAAATGCAACTAAACTGTTGTGCGAATACTAATTAACCTGCAAATGCCTCTAAACTGTTGAGCGAATACTAATTAACCTGCAAATGCCTCTAAACTGTTGTGCGAATACTAATTAACCTGCAAATGCCTCTAAACTGTTTTGCGAATACTAATTACCCTACAAATCCAACTAAACCGTAGTTTTTGATACTAATATAGCAAATAGAGGAAACAGAACAAAAGATCAATGAAACTTTGGCAGCTTTATAATATCTGCAAGAGATGTAACACAAAGAAACATGTAAAACTTTCAATGGACTCTTAACTATATCTAAAATAAACTCAGGTAGAATTTTTGGCAAAGTCAGGAAATACAATTAAGTAGCAAAACTGAATTTAAGCTAAATTTAAATAAGCCAGAATACAACAATTGTCTGGATTAAAACAAAGCACAGTGACCAAAAGTAAACACAAGAAGCTCCGTCCAAACCATAGTAATAATCTATAGCCTTCTACCCCTTCTACCACTCTTTCGGCGTGTGCTATCGGAAGGAATTGGAGTCACATCCTCTGTAAATGTTAAAACAAACAAATTCCAACAGTGATGATTAGAGATAAAATCAAAAATTAATACACACATACACATCTGACATAAAACAAAGCCGCAGAAAATCCTACAGATCATAGAACCAGATTAAAACAACAGATAAACATATTAAGAGAATTCAATTGGAAATTCAAAAAACACAATCAAGTTCATTAAAAACAATGATGAGGGATCAGAATTGAGAAATTTATTGTCATGCTGAAGAAACAAAACATTAAAAAGGAATAAAAAGCTGTAGCTTCATAAACAAGACTCACATGTACATTAACAAAAAAGCAGAAAAACCCAAGGCTATGTTTCATGTGATGGAACATAATGAAGCTGAGCGTAGTGGAACATCACATAATGAAATGGAATGGAAAGGAATATAGATCTCACTCTATTGTTTGGGTATTTTATTAATAATATTCCAGTCTATTGCATAGACCTAAAATTGGATAGATTGGAAGTGGATTTCATCATGTTCAATTTCACTCCATCTATATGGGAGAGAAGGCGGAGGAAAATGGAAAAAAAGAATACCTATGCGACCAATTTTCATTCCTGAACGAGCTAAGGCACGGAGAGCAGCCTGAGCACCAGGGCCTGGTGTTTTTGTCTTGTTTCCTCCAGTTGCACGAAGCTTGATATGAAGAGCAGTTATTCCCAACTCCTGTTCCAGAAAACACAATCAACAACCATTAAAGATAAACAAACACCTAGTCAATAAAATTCAGAAATAGAAAAGCCACATATAGAAAATAAACCTTGCACCGAGTAGCTACATCTTGTGCAGCAAGCATAGCAGCATATGGAGATGACTCATCTCTGTCAGCTTTAACTTTCATTCCACCTGAACATTTTCAAAGATTATAAAAAATCTTAATCTCAAGAGTCTAAAAAACCTTAAAAAATCATAGTTCTGCATTCCATAATTCAAACATAAAAATCTCAGAAAAAGAGATACATGGTGCAGGAATTAAAAACATTCACTTTCTTATACAAATTCACTGAAATTGTACATAACATTATAAATAAGCTAATTTTAAGGTAACTATAAATCAGAGAGAAATACACTAACCAGTAATGCGGACAAGGGTTTCTCTCCCAGACAAATCAGTAACATGCTGCAACAAATCAAAAATCACCCATTTAAACCAATAAATCACAACCAGCAGAGTAAATACGAAACGAATAATAAATAGCTAAAACCACTCACAATGAAGGTATCGTTAAACGAAGCAAAGATGCGAGCAACACCAAAAACATGTTCTCCATCTTTAACAGCAGGACCAAGAGTCACAGTCTCCTCCTTAGGCTCTCTAACCTTTCTCTTCGACGACTATGAAAAGATATACCAAAACTCAATCAACCATCAGATCTTATAGATTTTAATACCAAAGGAAAAAAAAAAACAATTTTGATGGCGAATCAACTTAGAAAAGTGAAATCGAGCGTGAAGAGTGGTGACATGCGTACCATTGTTGAAGCTCTAGGGTTGTTTGGACGATTCCTACTTCAATCCTACGGCGTGCAGCTTCTTCACGAGCCTCGCTGGTTTTGGTTTGTATTAGAGAAGAAGAATTTATTGTCGATTAGGGTTTTGTAAAATTTGGTATTGGATTGGGCCTTGTTACCCGCTCAGCCCACATATACCTTCTACCCAAAATTCATTTAATTATTATATTGTGAATTGCTCAAGGCATCTTGTATATTATTATGTGAAAAACTCAAAATACTCATTGATTTTAGATATGTATTTTTGGAGACATCTCAAACACACACAATTTATGATGAGTTTGAATCATGCCTCAAATTTATGTATATTTTGTTTTTAGAAATGTATCTTCCTAAATTTTATGAATGTGTATTTCTGAATCATACTAAAGCATAAACAAACATAGAATCAGAAAAAGACAGAATAACAAAATAAAATTAGTATTGATAACATAAAATAAGAAATGTTACATAGATAATCGTTAACATAAATCGAACTTTATATTTAAATATTCAGATGGATGTTTCAACATCTTCATAATATCTTAACCAATCTCAAAATCGTCGAATCCACCTTGATCGAAACTTTTGTTTTGTAACATAAAAATGTATTTCACATAGCCCTTAAATCTGCATCCGTCTTCAGCTCAAAGTTGTTGAACTCAATCTTTCCTTTGTTGACAATCGATGGTGAACGGTACTCAAGTTTCACAATTTTTAGATTGTCGAAGTATTGTATGAGATTCTCTAGTATGAATTTCAGATCTTCAAGAGGGGTGTACTCATTGAACTTAAACTTAATTTAGGATTTCGTGTTGTTGAAGTAGACATATACGACATGTCATTTTATGTTTATTCTGGTGTAATGTGATTTTATAAGAGACGTGAGATGAGAGTCACGTACTTATAGTAGTTTTAGGCAAATATGGATCTTAAAAGTTCTATCTTGTACCAATGAACATTACGGGGAGGCATTTGTGATACCACTATATTCTGTTATTCTTAAGATATATTTCATGAATACAAAATTACACTAGAGGTCCTTTAAGGGTTTTTTTTTTGTAGCAGGTTGGTCCTTTAGGTTTTTTTTGTAACAACTTGATCATTTATGTAATTTCTACATTATTTTTCTCACATTTTGAACATTTAGAAATGTTTGACTATTGTATATCTAGTTGCATTTCATCATTTTCATAGATTTAAAATAGTTGCATTTCATCATTTTCATACGATTTAAAATAGTTGCATCAATAATTAGCACTTTCACTCTGTTAAAAAAGGGTAATGTTGCACACGTTTGATAACTTAAAAGACCAAGTTGTTACAAAAAAGACTTAAATGATCAACTTGTTACAAAAAAATAATTTGAAGGACCTCTATTATGATTTTGTCTTGATCAAGAACATGTTTAGTCAAATATCTCTTAGTATTCTTGACTTAGAGAACATCAAATGTGCTCTCATAAACAGACGACTGATTTTCTTGTGACACTTGTCCAATATTAAATCATAACTTATTGTTGAAGAGACACCTCGAGCGTTGTGATTTCGTGAGACTATGTTTTAAAATGATTATTCCTTTTGCTTCCTACTATTGTTGTAATTATGACTTGACGCATTGGGTTTGGTAACCTACTTGAGAATAGGATAAATCTTTACGCCTTCCCTTTAATGTGCATTTATTAAGACTTATGTGAATTAAAAATTTCTTGAAACTAAACGGTTATATTCTCAATCTTTATTCATTGTTAGTGCTTCTTTCCAATCTTAAGTATACATTTATTTTGTATACCTAATATGTGACCTTTTGGATACTCCTTTCAATAATAGGTTGCTTTACTCCATTCCTTTCTCTTGATATGTTTGTCTCTTCTTGTGCCCGTGTCCTATGTCATTTGTCTGGGAGATGAATTTTCGAGTCAATTCATCTAAACTTAATTTATATTTATACTGATACATTTCCTCTTTATATCATACTTCTGTTCATCTTTCCCTTCATCAATCTTTCTAAACTTTCTTACATTGTTTTTGTCAATATGTCTATCAAAAACTTCCTTGGTAATGAAGAAGTTATGGAAGTAATCTCTGAAAAACGGCCTAACACTTCTAGACTCAGAGACTCAGGTTTACACATATCTACCAGTATGCAGATTCAAGAATGGTTTGGGTACTACACAATCTTACATGGACTAGTCTTTCATATCCTTGTGAAGGAATTTTGGAAATATGCAAAGATTGGCAAAGATAACAATTATATCTGGTCTTCTATTTACGTTGTTTCGTTCATCATCACGCCTACTTCCATTGCTCAAGACATTCACTATGTTTAATCTGGAGTCACCGTTGAAGATTTTCATTTTTCTTACTCTTTTGTTGGATAAATCATCGCCATTCATGATGTTTCTCTTCACATATATGAACCTTACAACCCTGAAGGGCTCATTTCCACCGCCAAAATGTGGTTTCAACTTCTGCTAACGAACTTTCGACCCGAGGAGTTGCCAAAAATGCTTTGTCTCGTGATGATAAACTTTTTATCTACTTCATGATGCACAATGTCCGAGTCAACCTGCCTCAAACCATTTTTAACCATTTGGAGAATTATGTTGAAATCAGCATAAGTCTTTTATTCTGTATGGAAGAATTTTGTCTAAGTAGTTCTTCAAGGATGAAATCATTGGTTTAGCCAAAATATTCGGACCAGAAAATGTTATGGTTGAAGAGAGGTGTGAAAGGGTTGATAAGGTGGAGGATTTTAATGGTTGGTGAGCGGGTGTTCTCGTTATTCTTTCAGAATTTGTCTTCTAATTTCTTTTGATTAACCGTTTTACGTGTCTGTCTGTCGTTTGTTTGGTCGTTTTGGAAGTTATCTTGGATTACTCCTTACTTATGTCCTTGTGCCTTTGGCGTTATTATCTTTAATCAATGAAATTTATCTTTTGATTGCATCTATTCATCTTATTGGTTGCTGGCAAAGAGGGAGAAGTATTGATACACCTAATTTCTCTTCTAGTTAACTTTTTGATTATGACAAAAAAGGGGAGTATTAATTGGAAAAATTATTTTGATAAATATATCTTGTTATATGAATCACAATTTTGACATTCTAACATTATATTTGCACACAATTTCTTCTTAGAATTTCTTTTCAGAAACGATATTGAAAATCTAGTAAACATGACTATCTGATGTATATGATAAGAACCAGACTTGAATCATCTCAGAATATTATTCTAGATATAATAAGAACAATTAGGCTCTGGTATATAATCAAGATTTGTTATTCTAAATCTGACAAGATCCTTATAATCAGGCTCTGGTATCCCAAATCTGATAAGATTTTAAAGTCTTAGATTCAGGGGGAGCTTGATGAAGGGAAGTTATTTCTAAACTTATTTATGCCATTTCCTTTTGATTATTTTTGTACAAAATTGTTTCATCAAAATACGTTGTTTTGTTATTATAAAAAAGGGGGAGATTGTTAGAACAAGACTTGGTTATGCTCGTTATCTATAAGTTTTGATAATAACAAAGTAGTATTTGTGTAACAACAATTTTGGTACTCTAATGTTTGTTTTTCTGAAGGATTAATAAACAGGCTCTGACTCTGATAGAGACCATATACCATGAAAGTTTGGTTTAACCAAAATTCGCTTTTGTGCCAAAGAAGCAAGCCTGCTTCTGATCTACTCACATTCAAAAAAATTCTAAGAAGATAATATGGTGTTGCTGCAATGTTCTCTTGGATTCTGCCTCTGAGCGTGACTCTGGCGTTTTACTTCTGAAGGCTTTCTAGCTTCTAAAGTCGCTATCTTCTAAAGACTAAATGTTTAAGACTCTGAAGGCAAGATTCTGATGAACGAAGTTCTGAAGACTTAAGTTTCTAAAAACCAAGGGTTATGAAGACTGAGTGCTTAAAGTTCTAAAGACAAGGTTCTGGTGAACAAGTTCTGAAGACTAAAGACTCTGAAGACCCAGTGATCAACTCTTGTATGCATGCTTTAATCATCTTTATTCAGAAGCCTCCGATGTACAGAAGATAAAATCAAAAGTTTACGAGGTAAAATAGTACATAGTACGCATCAAAACGTTTCATTCCACTACCATTATACTACCCTGATTTGGTGGAACAAAGGACAACTTTTATGTACGATTTTCATCCATGCGTAACGACATTCCTTCAAGCCACCAGCTCATTCAAGGATATTTTTGATGTTCCCTCCAACGGGTCTTTTATTGGCTTTATAAGAAATTAACCACTTGAAGAAAAAGAAGCAACGTATGGGAACAAGAACTGTAGTGAAGAAATACAATACAACCCAAGAATAATATTCATATTGTGCAAATTTTCTTTAAGTAATTTGTGATATTTATAGTGTTTATATCTGCTCGTGTAGAAGAAATTCATTGTAAACATTTATTTTTCAAACAATTATTTGTAATTCCTTAAGGGACCAATTGGGTCAGAATCCTCAAGAAGAGACAGTTAGTCTTTGTTGTTAGTCACCAGCAGTTGCTAGTGCAAATTGTAACTAGTTGATTATAATGGATTAAATCCTTGTGTATAAGGAAAAATCATCTTGGCGGGTGGGCTGAATTAGCTTGATAGTTTTCAAGTGAGCCAAGATATATCGTGTGTCTTTCTTTCTTGTTAGTATCTTTGTGATCTTTGTTTGAGTTTCACAAAAAAATTTCATTTTTGAAAACCCAATTCAAACCCCTTTTTCTTGTGTTTTCCCACGCCTTCAATTGGCATCAGAGCTTTGGTTCTGATTGTGATAAAAAATTACTAACATTTCACCGTGTTCAGTATCAATCCAGTATTTGTGTGAGATATCATGGTTGTCGCTAATGTTAATCCTATTCCATAAGAGAAAGAGCACTACAATGTCAACCCACCAGTCTTTGATAGTGAAAAGTTAACTACTAGAAAGATAGAATTGAAAGTTTCTTTCTTGGTTACGACGTACATCTTTGGGATCTTGT